TTTTTGATAATTATCTTTGTTTTATATTGGAAAATTTTAAATTGTTTTATGTCTAGTATTTTATCCTTTAGAATTTTATTTTATTTTTTTAGTATTTTATCCTTTAGAACTTTAAAACTTTGATACAGTCAAAATTTATCTCTTCTACCTGCCTTTTGTTTTTTTAAATGTTATGTTAACAAGCCATTTATCCTAAATTCATCAATATTTTTGCCTATAATTTCTTTTACTAGTTCTGTTTTTGAGTATAAGTCTGTAAATCATTTATTTTATACTAACCCATTTTAGGTGTTCTTCATTCCTTCCTGCCACTCCTGATTCAGCCTGGTGTCATTTTCCTTCATTTGGAAGATTTTTTTTTTTAGAAGTTGTATAGTGTGGATTCTTAGGAGACAAATTCTCTTAGATTTTTGTCTCTATGAGATTATTTTTAAAGGATATTTTCCCTGGAAATAGAATTCTAGTTTGCCAGCTTTTTCTTTCAATATTTTATGGATATTGTTTCATTGCCATTTGCTGCCAATGTTTCTGGTTGGATTTCGGATGGAATTCATATACTTGTTTACTGAATATGTCTTTTTTTTCTTCTGCTTTTAAAATATGTTCTTCATATTTGGTTTTCAGAGTTTTGACTGTTAAGTATTTAGGTATGTTTCCTTTGTATTCATCTGCGTGCAGTTTGCTAGGCATCTTGATTCTATGGATGTTTTTTACCAGCTTTGGAAAGTTCTCTGCCATTATCTCTACAAGTACATATATTTTTTCATCTATTATCGTTTCCCTCTTCTTGGAATCCAATTATGAGTAAATTGAATAGGTTGCTATTTTCTCTTTGTTGCTGCTGTTTAGTTGCTAAGTTGTGTCTGGCTCTTTTTCAACCCCATCCAATAATTCTAATATCTTGTTTGTCTTGCTTCTGATTTTATTGATTACTTTCTTGATCATGTTATATTTTCTTGCTTTTAGTATAGCTTGTACTCTTTTTGATTGTGTGGTGAACATTTTGTCTGTAGTGAATGAAGTTAATATTACTTCCAGAAAGAGGGTGCCCTTTTGTCAGGTTTTTAGAGTAGAAGTGAAGTCAACCTGATTGTACCTGAGTAGGGTCTGAGCTGTATTCTAGCTTTTGTTTGATTCAGCCCACTCTGATGTCAGGTGTTTGGAGGGTGGGATCAGGACCTTGCTTTCAACAGTGTCTGTTTTCTGGGCACTATAAGGACTCTAGCATTTGTCTAGTTTCCACAGCTGGGTTGGCATCTTTTAAAAATGTGGGAAATTTCTCTTTGGTTTAGAGCAGCTGCCTGGATTTGGGGTTATGTGAGAGTTTTCTTTTCTCTCCAGTTCTTCTTCTTGGAATTCTCTAGGCCAGAATACTGGAGTGAGTAGCCTTTCCCTTCTGCAGGGGATCTTCCCAACCCAGGGATTGAACCCAGGTCTCCTGCATTGCAGGCGTATTCTTTCCCAGCTCAACAACGAGGGAAGCCCAAGAATACTGGAGTGGGTAGCCTATCCCTTCTCCAGTGGATCTTGCCGACCCAGGAATTGAACCTGGGTTTCCTGCATTGCAGGAGGATTCTTTACCAACTGAGCTGTCAGGGAAGCCCTAGTTCAGATTAATTTACAAATGAATGACTTGACAGATTGACATCTTTGTGTTTCTATCAGACCAGCTTGTTTGACCTATGTGAGGAACAGTGAGTCAAAAAAAGAAAAATGGTATAACTGGACATGATTTTACTCTTTCCTAGTTATTTTTTCAAATTAAGTGAATTAAGCAGAAACCATGGTATCATATAATATCATGTAGATCAAAATAGCTTTACTTGGCCTCAGATTTTTTTTTTTCTCCTTTACTAAGAAATACGATTTCTACTCAAGCAGATCATGGCAAAAATAACTCTATGTCAAATCACTGTTTCTTAACTCCATGTTAAGTCACTGGAGCCTGAAGTTTCCTTTCCTTAGTACTCCCACCAGTATGTGAACATGGTCTTTGCCGTTTTGTGACGCTTTGATGATATTCAGGATTTTCGCTCTGCCTATTTTGCCATATTTTCTCGTTTATTTAACAAATTCTTATGGAGGGTGCTCTCTCTATTGGGTGTCGTTATAAAGAGTCACCTAACAAATTTCTGCCAGCACTCACTGAGCTAACAGTTTAGTGAGGACAGCAGAAGGAATTCAATAAATAGTGAACAAGAGTAACAAGAGGGAAGTGACTGAACAGGGGATTAGGAGGCCCCTCCTTGAGGAATCAGCATTTACTTTGAAATGTCTAGGGTGTGTTCAGTTTAGAGGGAAACTCATGGAAGGTGGGATTTACAGAAGTTGATTGATTCAGTCTCAGATGAGAGGAAGATTATGCCTTCTAGCCTGAGCTAGGATGGCTGGTTGATGCCACTGCTGGGAAGATGGAGGAGTCCAGCTTCTGGGAAGAGGATATGAGTTCAGTCCTGCACATATGTTTGAGCTTCCTGTGGACTGTCAGACGTGGCAGAAGTTAAATGTTTGAGTCAGTGACCTTCTGAGAATCAAGGTAGTGGATCAGATGCCCAGCAAACAGGTATGGAGAAGAGTGAATAGGCCCTACTACAGAAATTACAGTGTTTAAGGAGTGTGAAAGAGATGCCTGTAAAAGAAAGCTAAGGATCAACTTGAGATGGGGGACAATGAGGAGAGTGTCCAGTCATAGAAACCACAGGAAGAAACTGTTTCGGGCACAATCAATTATGTTGAATGCTGCCAAGAGGTTAGGTGAACCACGGCCTTTGAATTGTCCATGGATTTTGTGAGCGGGAGGTACCAAAAGAGCAAGTTTCATGTTGTGGCAGGTGAGAGTCTTCTCAACTCCACTTAACGTCTTGGGTCTACAGGCTCCACTTTACAGGATGTTCCTCCTGTTGTAGGCGTGCTCTGAAGTGCATGTGCCTGTTCATGATCCTAATCAGGCGCATGGAGCAGCCTCCATGCTGCTTTGCTGTTTCACCTCTGCCAGCTCGGCCCTTTAGGCTTCTTCTCACTACTGGTTTCATTAATCAGATAACTAATTCTCTCAGTGTCTGTGCTCCTCACAGTCTACAACTCTCCTTTCCCACATTCCCACTTCATACTCACATCTTTTTATATTGAATGAAAGTATCTGACCCCGTGTTTTGTTTTTATTTTCATTCTCTCTCTGTAGAAAGTGTGTTAAATTACTAGAAAAATACTGAAAGTTAAAAACACTTTATGAAATAGTTACTGAATAATTTGGATGTTATTGAATAATTAAAATTATTCTATTTTTCATTTTCAATATTTTGATTGTAAAATTTTCCTTTTATTGTGTGTTTCATCAAAACCAGTTCTTTGAAAGGCCCCTGGAATATGGCTTTGCACTAGAGAATATTCTCCATCACGTTCTTGAGCTGGGTTTGTGATGGATTCAAACAGATGGCCACAGGGCAGCTTTTGCTACTGTGAACCTTTAATAATCACCAGGGAAATTTCAAATCAATGTGTAGAGACTTCCCAGACAAATAAAACCATTGAACATTTCTGGCATTTTCTTTCTTTCTTTTTTCTTTTTTTTTTTTGCTCCCTATTAAGAGTTCTATAGATATGTTGATTCTCCTTAGTAGTTTTGGTATTATTCTCAGAAAAATAAATGCTGCAGAGTTTGACACCCCATTATTATTAGATAAGTTAGAGGGATCTAATCTTCACAGGCTTGGGCAAAGCTGTCAGAATCATTTAAGGGAGATCACCTGGGAGAATAGATAAAGAAATTTTATATAGACAGCTTGAAGGGAAAAAAAAACAAACACCAAATAACCTGTAACTATTGAAAAAAGATACTAGTGCAGTAAACTGGGAGTATAAGCTTGAGGTTGAAAATAAAAAAGTTGCTTAGATATTTAGTTAAAAATTCTAGGTCAACAGAAGGCATTGCATTACTTTTTGGCCATATTTTCTTATGGAGTTTTTCATAAAATTGTAATGAGAAGTGATAAATATATCTTTATTATGTAAAGGGAGTCATCTTGGAGTGAAAAGTATATGCCAATCTAAGACACATAAAAATGCCAAAAATAGAGGGCTTTCCCTGGTAGCTCAGTGGTAAAGAATCCACCTCCCAATTCAGGTGACACGGGTTCGATCCCTGGTCCAGGAAGATCCCACATGACACAGAGCAGTTAAGCCCATGTGCCGCGACTGTTAAGCCTGTGTGCTAGAGCCCAGTAGCTGCAACTACTGAGCCCATGTGCAGTAACTCCTGAAGCCAGCATGCCCTCGACCCGTGTTCCGCAACAAGGGAAGCCACAGCAATAAGTCCATGCACCACAACTAGAGAGTAGCCCTCGCTCGCCACAATAGAGACCCAATGCAGCCAAAGATAAATAAATAGATACAATTATTTTTTTAAAGTGCCCAAAATATAAAGTTAATGTGGGGAAGATAAAGGAATACATTTTATGGCACTGTTTTCTGTTTTTATGGAAAGCCTGCATTTATCAGAATAATTTTTCCAGCACTATTTGCCAACCAAAAGACCCAAGTGATACTTCTGTAAAGAGTGTTCTTATAAAGAGCTTCCTGCTTATCCCTGTATTAGAACAAAGCCTGCCATGACTCTGCTTTTTAGCCATCCCGTATACAGGAAGGGATTCCCAGAACTAAAGGGAACTGAGTTGCATGTGTGTGCCTCTGTTGTAGAATTCTAGTACCTACCTCTCCACACACCAGTTTCTCGTGTCACAGGTTCACCCAGCAATGGCGTTCTTGATGCTAGGATAATGCCAGTTCCCTCCAGGAGATGTACACACCCAGAACACTGTTCAGGTGTCTCTCACCTTCCCATCTCTCTTTTTCCTCTCCCTTCTTGAACTGTTAAGAGATAGTCCTTCATGAAGTTACTGATAGTTTTAATTTTAAAATTAAAAACTAGACTGTATGGGGATAATAGTGCTGACTTTTATTACATGGCTCTAATAATTGTGTGACATTTGTTTCTGCCCTAGGAGTGCTGTCTCTGCAATTTAAGAGGGGGTGCGCTTAAGGAAACTAAGAACAATAAGTAAGTAGTGTGTTAATTGTGTGGAATTTCATCATTTCCTTCTCCTCTGTTGAGTGTTGAACCTCTGGGTTTATAGTGTGCTTTGCCTCTCATTGTTGTACACGGTTTGTTCCACAGCTTTGTTTTTATTAATAAGTTAAAATGTTTGGTCTTTTTTTAAAATAATTTTTAATTGGAGGATAATTGCTTTACAATGCTGTGTTGGTTTCTGCCATAAAATAGCACAGATCAACCATAAGTATACATATGTCCCCTTCTCCTTGAACCTCCCTCCCACCCTGTTCCACAGCTCTTGCCGTTCAGGTGTAAGGTGGAGATTTTGTACATGTTTCCAGAAACCATTACTGACAGCACATGCACCTCCGCTGGGTGAAGGTGTTCTCAGGCTGCTGCTATTCTGTCTTTGACGTCATAAAGAGTAACCCCTCTTTCACTAACAGAGTTTGAAGGCAGCCCATATTCTCGTGCCATTGGAATTCTTGTTTTTAATTTGATGAATGCTGTTGTTGTAATAAAAGCAGAATATGCCTGAAAACAATGAAATCTGTTATCTTTAGATAAATAAAATCAATTATAATCATAGCATTAGAACAAAAGCATTTACTTTTAACACCAGTAAATTTATAAGAAAGTGTATATTCTAAAATAGAAACATAGGGAGAAAAGATTGATTTTACAGTTTAAAGGGGACAGTTGGAAAATATGAAGAGACTCATAAGTGAACAAAAAAGATGGGTAATGTTTCTATGGCAGTAGCTGAAATGTATTTTTGCATGAATTTTATCTTTATGACCCAATTTAATCATTTAAGATGGGGCCAAAGCAAATTATAGGTTCCTATAAAATAGAAACTTGTAGAAATGATTTAGGTATAGGTTGTATTATGGCACTTGAGAGCCACATCCAGCCCAAAGATATGTTTTATTTGACTGACACCATTTTTTAATTTAATTCAGATTTTAAAAGTTGAGAGTTATATAAAATCCAGATTTTCATCTTTACTTGATAAATGATTGTGCATCTCTATATGACAATAACCAGTCAGTATGAGAACCTGGCCTAAAGAGAGTAGGCATTCTCTAGGTTACCATGATTTACCAGTATATGTTTATTCGGTTTCATTCTGCCTGGCCCGATGGACACTGCAGTTGAGACTCCTGGAGTAATATAATGTAATGTCATGTAATCATGTGCATGCACACATGTTTCTGATTGTTTATAAGGGAGAATAAAGGCATTTATCATTTCTATGTTGGTAAAGTTTAGTCTGAGAGACTGTGTATTTGCTTGATTTTGGATGTTCATCTCTTAGTCTTAGTTAATGTGATTGACACTATGCTAAAAACTATTGACTGCTTCTGGGACTGTTACATGAGTGGTGCAGACTGCCAGATGATTTAGGCGGTTCCTGTAAAGATGGAGGCGATAAAGACTTCTCTTTCTTCCCCTGGACTAGGACAAAAAGAAGTAATGTTTGCTATAAATTATAATGTTTACTTAGATATGAAAGAGTGCCCTGTTGGGGTTGATAGTTATTCTCTCTCCTGGTGGTCTCTAAAGGCAGGATGGAGTCTTATGTTATTTGAGTGAAATAACATGCTTTGACTTAAAAATAAGTTGACAAATTTGATAATTCTTTCAAAATCTCTTTAAACCTCGAGTCTTTATGTTTGTTTGAGGCATAAGATTTATGAGAAACTTAATAGTGTTAATGAGGATGTTGTCATTTTTCTGGAGTGATTCAGAATTTGAAAGGAGATACACAAGGTTTTTGAGTAACCTCTGGGAGTTGGTGATGGACAAGGAAGCCTGGCATACTGCTGTCCATGGGGTCTCAAAGAGTCGGACATGACTGAGCAACTGAACTGAACTAAGCACAAGAGTTTTAGAAGGAAACAAGGGAACAAGTTAAATTTCATTTCCCCTTATCTCTTGGTTCCTTTGATTATAGCAGGATTGCAATAAGAAACAATTTAATGAAAGACTTAATCTGCATTAATTCTTCTAGAGAATTTTTGCTATTTATTCTGGTTTGCTTCATGACATCAGAATTATGTAAAAAGATTATATGGTATACTCATTTCATTTTCATACCTTTTATTAATTGAACTAATCTTTTGCCACGTATTAATTATCTTAAGTATATTAAACACCTCTATAGTTCAGTGTCAAGTGAAATAGCAGATGTGCATCTCAGTATTTTTCAGGTCATATGTAGAAACATATAAATACAATAACAGTATTTGTTGGTCTTCATCTAGTTCTTCATGTCACCGTGGTGGGCAGGTGTGGCACTGAATCTCTCCAGGTATCATCCAATAGCTTTAAAATTCAGAGAATCTGTTTGTAATGGACATAGGTGCTCTGGGCTTGCTTTCTCATCTGTGTGTTTCCCATGCATGTGAATTGTCACCTCCTGGTGGAAGTACAGGCTGTGTTAAGTTTAGGGAACATTTGTTTATGTTTCTGTCTCCTTTCCTGTAGGTGGGCCCATGTCATGTGCGCCGTTGCAGTTCCAGAAGTCCGGTTTACTAATGTCCCAGAAAGGACCCAGATAGATGTAGGCAGAATACCTTTACAGAGGTTAAAATTGGTGAGTGCCAATACTTTTTTTCCCCTCATAAATTAGTGTTAATTGCAAGTTCTGAATATATCTCTTCATGCACATACTTTTTTCTTAGTTTCTTTGAATTATTCTACATTTTTTATCCTTTTAGCCTAAATTACTTATCTGTACTTATTCTTTTTCTATTGTGTTGTAAGTGTACATATAGCTTTCTACGACTTATGTCTTCAGTGAGCCAAAGGAATACTGCATTTCATGAATTTATGTGACTTTTCAATCTCAAGGTGATCGCTGAAGTTTGTTAGTAACTGACCCTAGCTATCCAAATATCTCTGTTTTAATTGCTTAGTCTTTCTCTCTCTTGCCTGTCTTTGGTTGGCCTTGACTTAGAAAAATGAATCTAACTTGATTTTATCATCTCTTCACCAAGAAACTTGCAGAGAAACTGATTATTCCTGAGGGATTTTCTCACCAACAAAGTTCATTTAAATTGTCCAACTCTCTGGCTGGTTATCTTCTCATTGTTTCTCTTTGTTAGATTGTTTTTGTTTTGTTTTTTCTTTTTTTCATGAAAAGGTAGGCCTTTAATGTCCTCAACACTAAAGTTATCTTGGAGTTCTATTAAATTGTGAGCTAACAGGTTACTAGTTCAGGCTCTTAATATTTCATATTTAATGAGAATTTTTCCTAAAGGTAAATTGCATGACTTTAAAATGCTGAAGCACATCTTACAAGTAGACTTAATTCCCTACAATTTCTTTAGTCCTTGTTATTTCTAACTTGGGGTCTTTCCACTATTTCAGACACTGAGCTGTAACTCTCCACCTGAGTGTTTCTTTGTTACGAGTAGTCTCTCCCCCACTGGTTAGCAGGGTGTTTTGTCTCTGAATTTCTGTCTCAGGAACTTAGAATCTATTCTCCTGTCTTTCAGTGAACACTGTTATTTTTCATTATAGCTCCATTAAGAATTTCACATAGCTAGAAAATATGTGGCCCTTTCTAGGCCCAATGATTGCTGTTGGCAGATATGAGATCATCTGCCAACATGATCTGAGTGTGGTAATGGAAGTTTTGAGAATGAGATGGAAATAACTGGGCATTTAAATGGCCCTTTAAAGCTCATGGTGACTATCAGAAGAGAGTAAGGTTGTTCAGCTCATGAACTTCCAAAGGAAAATGTTTGTAACCTTATATCTTGATCACCAGTTTAAAAAGAAAAACTAACCTTGACATGAAGAGAGAGGCAGAAGTAGTGTCTTCTGTGACTGTGCAGACTGCTGTTTCTACTTGATTTCAAGAAATCTCATTTGTAGCCTTTTTTTGTCCTCTCTTTTGTCTTACTGTGCTGATACTTTGTTTATAAGTACAGGTTGAGTGCAAACATTTTAACACCTCAAAGGTTGAAAAATTGATACAGAAAAAAGAAAAAATACAATAAATCCTATATCACATTACATTTTATGTGCAAACTGCTTTTCCTCTATTGCTTTTTACTTATATAAACTTGTTTTCATTATTCCGTTGATACATATTCTATCTGTGGATATTGTTTGGGTCTTTATGATTAGAACAGAATGCATTAGTTTTGCCCATTAAAAATTATAAAAAAATATTTTTCATTGGGGGAAAAACAACCTACCAATAAGAAAGAAATAAACAAAAAAATGGCCAGAATTAGGATTGTAAGGCAGGTTATAAAGAATAATGTTGAGTTCATTACATACTACAAAACGTAATGCTTAGTGTGACAAATACTAACAAATGTCTTACATTTTAATTTTTTTCTGATTTACAAGTAATATGTATTTGTAGAAATTCCAGCACTACATTTAACACCCACCTTTGGGTCTGTCTCCTAAAAGATGGTTTCTGTTATCAGTTTAATGCCCCTTGGAATAAGTGGTCACTGCTCCTGGTGCTTCCCTTTAAGGACCTATGTACTGGCTCCTCTTGTCTACAGATTGTCCTTAGTGATCTGTTGTCACCAATACCAGTCTCAGAGGGGTTTTCATGGAGCAACAGGGAGGGCCAGCATGGATCATTTCAGTGCCAGTCAAGAAGCTGTATCTAGAAATCTGAAATCTGATGATGGCCTCCAAAGATGGCAAAGGTTGCCACCTTGATTGTGTATGTTGCATATTCTTTTGAAGTTTAATTAATCTAATAAGTGTACATCCAGCTAGAAGTAAGATCAGTATTTTCATGTAGTATTTCATCTCGGCTGACCTAAGTCTAGATGGAGTATTTTACTATGTCTGTTTAGTGAATGTATGTGTGTCTGCTAGTGTCAGTTTCACTTTTTTTTCTGGAACTGTAGCCAGCCCTCTTCTGGATGCTGGATTGTTCATCTGCCTTCTTATTCACACAGATGAGGAGGGGTTGGGGATAGGAATTAGATGTTGGTGTCAGTGTATTTCACCAAACAGTTATTACCTGACCTTACCAAATACTTAGTGTATATTTTTGAGTAAGACTTTGTTCCTATCTTCTAGCATCTTATAGTCTAGACTGGGCTTTTTTGGCTTTGGCTTTGTTGATCTTTTGGGTAAGTTAATTGTTGTGAATGGCTGTCATGTGTATCATAGATCGCAGCATCCCTGACCAAACAGGTGAAGCCAAAAGGTATAAACTTCTAGTTATAAGGTAAATAAGCACTGTGGATGTAATGGGCAGCGTCATGACTAGAGCTGAGACTGCTGTGTATTGTGTAGGAAGGTTCCTAAGGGAGTAAATCCTATGAGTTCTCATCACAGGAATAATTTTTTTTCCCTTCTTAAATTTCTTTTTGTTGTATCTATATGAGAAGACGGATGTTAGCTAGACATACTGTGGTATTCATTCACAGTACATGTTAAGTCAAGCCATCATGCACAATGCCGTAAACTTACACAGTGAGGTATGTCAGTTACTTCTCAACAAAACTAGAAAGAAAGTAAGCAATGCCAGATACATCCTCGGAGGTAAAATCACCCCCATATGAGAACCCCCTGGTCCACAGAGAAGACATACACATGATGAGAAAATTTTTGCCATTTTCAGAAAGATAATATCTTTGTTGAAAGAAGTGGCAGTCTTGACAGAATGAAAATTCTTAATTGCTTTTAAAAAGCATCCCTAGAGGGTTTTTTTTTTTTTTGCTGATTATTTGAATTTCTTATTTGTGAATAACACAATAACACTTGGCAACCTATTTGTATATTTGCTACTGTACAATTATTAATTTTATGATCCAATTTAGTATTTTAACATTACCTGTTCTTATAGACAGAGAAGGATATGGCAACCCACTCCAGTATTCTTGCCTAGGGAATCTGTGGACAGAGGAGCCTGGTGGGCTGCTGTCTGTAGGGTTGCACAGAATTGGGCACAACTGGAGCGACTTTACATGCATGCATGCACTGGAGAAGGAAATGGCAACCCACTCCAGTATTCTTGCCTGGAGAATCCCAGGGACAGAGGAGCCTGGTGGGCTACCGTCTGTGGGGTCACACAGAGTCAGACACGACTGAAGAGACTTAGCAGTAGCAGCAGCAGTTCTTATAGAAATTGAGCCACCTTGATTACTCCCCCCCCCAAACTTTAAACTTTATTTTGAATTGGGTTATCGCCAATTAACAATGCTGTGACTGTTACTGCTGTTCAGTCTCCAAGTCATGTCCAACTTTTTGTGACCCCATGGTCTGCAGCATGCCTGGCTTCCCTGTCCTTCACTATCTCCTGGAGTTTGCTCAAACTCATGTTCATTGAGTCTTATCCTCTGTCACCCCCTTATCCTCTGTCACCCCTTAACTTCTTGTCACCCTCCTCTTCTCCTGCTTGCAATCTTTCCCAGCATCAAGGTATTTTCCAGTAAGTTGGCTCTTTGGAAATGAGTCATCCAGCCCAACATTTCATATGGTATACTCTGCATAGAAGTTAAATAAGCAGAGTAACAGTATACAACCTTGATGTACCCCTTTCCCAATTTTGAACAAGTTTGTTATTCCATGTCTGGTTCTAACTGTTGCTTCTTGATACAGGTTTCTCAGGAGACCAGTAAGGTGGTTTGATATTCCCATTTCTTTAAGAATTTCCACATTTTTTTGTGATCTGAACAGTCAAAGGCTTTAGTATAGTCAATGAAACAGAAATAGATGTTTTTCTGGAATTCTCTTGCTTTTTCTATGATCCAACTAATGTTGGTAATTTAATCTGCGGTTCCTCTGCATTTTCTAAATTTAGGTTGTACATCTGGTGTTTCTCAGTTTGTGTACTGTTGAAACCTAGCTTGAAGGATGTTGAGCATTACCTTGCTAGCATGTGAAATGAGAGCAAATTGTACAGTAGTTTGAACACTCTTTGCCATTGCCTTTCTTTTGGATTGGAATGAAAACTGACCTTTTCCAGTCCTGTGGCCACTGCTGAATTTTCCAAGTTTGCTGGCATATTGAGTGCAGCATTTTAACAGCATCATCTTTTATACTTTGAAATAGCTCAGCTGGAATTCCATCATCTCCACTAGCTTTGTTTGTAATAATGTTTCCTAAGGCCCACTTGACTTCACACTTCAGGATGTCTGGCTCTAGGTGAGCGACCACACCATCGTGGTTATCTGGGTCATTTCAGGTGAACAGTGAAGGGACTCAGCCATAAACATACATGTATCCATTCTCTCCCAAATCTCCCTTCCATCCAGGCTAGCACATAACATTGAGCAGAGTCCCATGTGCTATGTATTAGGTCCTTGTTGGTCATCCATTTTAAATATAACAGTGAGAACAACCTTGATTACTAATCAAGTATCATAGAGATTAAAATTTTGTGATATGTGTATGTGCACACATATGGTAGGTACTGAATAAATATTCATGAACTGAATAAAAAGGCAGCAAAATTTTACTTACTCTCTTTGCTCTGACATAAAATTGTTGTGGCTGAAGGATCTGATCAGACAATATGAAATGACTTGTCCTTTATTTTTTTTTTTTAAAGAAAAATTCTTTAAAAGTCATGGTGCTAAATTCATACACATCTCTTCCACGTGCTGC